ATGTGTCAGTTCTCTGTCAAACTTGGTCATAAGCACCCACTGTGAGGTGTGTGTTTGTTTGTGTGTGTGTGTTTGGCACATGCCCACGGTGAGGGTAACAGCAGCGGTATGCCCAAACAGATACACTTATCTAGATGTCTTAATCATGTGAGAAGTAGTTGTGATGATAGGCAGTAGGGAGACCACTGTGGAAGAAACCCTAATTGGATCCCACTGTCCTGGCATTTATTTATTTATTTATTTATTTATTTATTTATTTATTTATTTATTTATTTATTTATTTATTTATTTATTTATTTATTTATTTATTTGTCAGTCATTAGGACATAGAACCTGTTGTTAATTTATTTGAATCCCACCACTGGAGATCAGCTAATATTCATCAGATCACAAGAGTATACCAGCACTGTCCATTGGTCAAAGATAGCAGAGGCATCAACTGCTATTCAGTCAAGAACACAGGAAATGAATTATTCATCATGGCTATCATGCATTTAAATGCTCCCTTATACCTGCTTTATTCTGGACTTGAAGAATTAACAATCTCTCTCTTTTCTCTCCCCCCCCCCCATTCTTGTCCAAAGACTGATCTACTAAGAAAAGAATGAAGCTTTAGCTTCACAGCCCTAATCCTGGAGGAGCTGCAGAACTTTAGTCCACAGTAAAAAAAAAATTGTAGTGATCTGTTATGGAACAACCCCACTGAAGAAGATAAGTGGTTACCCAGACCGCATTGCTGATTGTGAAAGGTCCCCCCTGTAACAGTCCAAGCTTCAGGTTCACAACTCTCCTCATCCTCTTGCATGCATTTTCTTTTTGGTTTATATGCTTAATGGTAGGACATTTTTATTGCGCCTTATTCAAGAGTTATGCTTGAAAGTGTAAAGGGCTAAATGTAATGGGGTGGGGGCTGGGATTATAATAAGGCAAGGCTCTTCAATGTGGAAGTATAGCTAGCGCATTCAGTTGAATGTGCTTACAAGTGCCTCTGAAGAACTTTGCACTGAACCTATAAAAGTCTGCCTTACTTCTGGAGGAGGAATATATGCATGCCTCCTACACACACTATGATTAAAGCACTTCATGCTTTTAGGCATAATCTTTGAATTGGGCTCCTCTCTTTTTTTAAACTTATGTGAGTCACTTTGGAAGACCATAGCTGTCTGAAAGGAAAGGATATTCTGGTAACAGAAGAAAAGATGTCTCTTCCTGTTGGAGCCATTGATTCAAGACTATGAAGGCTTGACACCAGAAACTTGATATTCATAATATTCACGCAAAGGGATTATGTGGATATTAATGCATCTTGATGGATTTTAATGTGGCCCTGTTTTTCAAGCTTGCAGTACAATCTTTGGTCCCCTAGGTTGCAAACTACCTAACGATTGCAAGGGTTTGCTGTTGCTACTATTTGAAATTAGGAGAGCATAACACAAAGGATATAGTTACAGGCCCACATTCTCCCATCTGTTGTGGGCACCCCTCCACTGCGTAAGATGTCGTGAGATATCTCCCTCATGGAGCTATCAGAGTGCAGCTTTATAGATTTATTTCCTGATCATCGATACACCTTCTGATGGCTTTGTTTTTGACTTTGCTTCTTGGGGCACTAGTATTAAACATATATAACATGTGGTGAAAGAAGTTTTTGTTTGTTTGTTGTATTTCCAGATTTATTTCCTGGACTATCCATGCACAATCTGAAGATGTTTTTGACTTTGTTCCTTGTTATTCTTGGGACACAGACTTCTATAACCCAGAAACATGGTACTTCAGTATTTCTTTTAAAGAGTACTACATCGTGTTTCACATTCATATGGGTTGTTCTATGAATGAGGACAATCTAGACCGCAATCTTCTTTGCAGCAATCATGGAGGGGAGAAGTTTCAGATGTGATACTTCAAAAGAAAATACATTTGTTCCTGACATTTTCATCAGTTTTGTTAATGTTACATTATTACCAGTGAATTAGGGAGTTGATTCCCTGACACTTTTCCAGAAGCAGAGAAAACCAAACCAGCTGTTCCTGCAGCTTACATAAAGGATAATTGGGAGATACAATGGATGTTGTATAGATTTGTTTGCATGTTTAATGCATTTTATGATAATTTCTAGTTACATTCTTAGGACAGTTTACAAGAAAAATATTAGGTGAAAATATAAACAAGACACAGTAAATCAAAAAGCAGCAAGATGGCATAATCAGAAACATACTGCTGCATAGATCATACCTGAAAAGAGAAACAAATGAAAGAATAGGACTACACCATTGTCATAGGAGTGGGGTGTCTAAATAACTTTATTTAAACATTGCCACTATATAGCATATTGGGTTGGATCTAGGACCTGCCTGGCCAGAAGGCTCAACTCATAGGAGGTTCCTCTCTGATTTTCAAGGACGTGCCCCTTGTATTTTAGGTCATCTCATTTATCAGAGTTCTCTGATCCTTTATATACTGTATTCAAAGCCTTAGATGGGCTTCCATGGCAAGACAATGGATGAGGAATCTGTTTCCACAAGACCAATTCCACATGCCTAAATCTGGATCTCAACCATTATTTTTACTCGCTTAGTATTTTACTGTCAACAATAAGTTGATACACTGTTTGCTTTCTGCTTTTGCAGGCACTGAGTCAGCAGACATCGTCCTTTTGATTGACAGCTCAGATACACTTGGAAAAAGAGCCTTTTCCATGATGAGATCTTTTGTGAACAGAATGATTAACGGTCTGACGATAGGCCCAAACAAATACCGTGTGGCCCTTGCACAGTACAGTGATGACATATTCGTTGAATTCCAGCTGGACGAATTCCAAGCAAAGAGCCCCATGTCGAATCACATTAAAAAGAACCTCTTTTTCAAAGGTGGATCTTTAAGGACAGGAAATGCCATTCAAAATGTTCATGAGATTTTTTTCAAAACACCAATGGAAGACAGGAACCGGATTGTGGTGGTTGCAACTTCAGGGATGTCAGAAGATGACGTGGAGAGGCCTGCCAGGCTACTTCAACAGGAGGGGGTAAAAATCATAGCTTTGGGAACACAGGGTGCATCTCTGCAAGAGCTTGAGTCAATAGCTACTCATTCATTCTATTACAAGTTTGAAGCGCCAAAGGATTTCCTTGTATTTTCTCAAAATATGTCCAATGTGATTGAATCTGCTATAACAGTGGGCACTGAAGTCATCCCAACAACTCCTCCACCGACTACTCCACCAAGGATTCAAAATGAAACAACTAAAGGTACAGAAAACAGTGCAACAGAATTATGGGCGAATGAATTGGTTAAAAAAACCCTCCTTTGTCCCTCAGAGCCAAACTCTATCAAACGTGTAAAAAAAGGAGTAAGGGTCATTGGGCTGCAATTCCCATCCACCCAGTATTGCCAGTAGTAAGTGGCTGTGGGGGTTAGTGTCTAACAACTGGAAAGCCGAAGATCCCTTAATTCTGCTATAGGTGCTTCTGGAGTGTCCTCTGGGTACTTTAAGAACAACAGTCTGGGGATTGGAGCGTGACTGAGTCCATGGCATGTGGGGGGAAAGACAGCCTTCTTCTTGGCGTCTTCAGGGCTATTTCCTCCAAGAGAAAAACTGTCATTAGCATTGAGGGCAGTCCAAACAACAACTGAAGGAGCATCTAAATCTTCCACAGGAGATCAGAAACAATGCAGTGGCTCTGATCTCACTAATGCGCAAGGGAAGCGCAAACATGGACATTTCAATGTATGTTGTAAAGGAAATCTAGCATTCAGAAATCCTTTCTACATTAGTTTGCAGTGTGGTAACTTCACCAGAAGCTCATGTAAGACACAAATGCCATTCCATGTCATTGGCATTCCATGCATGCCCTGTTATATTATTTGGGTACCAGCAAGAAAACTGATCAGCATTCACTTGTCCCACTGCTTACAGTCATCAGATTACTGATTCAAAATATCATATCTACTGGACGTTATTCCACTCTGTCATGAAGAGATAGACCAAATCTTTCTTCATGTTCATTTCCTACACTGGTATCGTTTTCCCTCCAGGGATGCAGTTCCTTCAGAGCTCTGTACCTATGTAATTACTGGAAGCAATGGGATATGATTGTTCATGAGCTTCAAGCTCCAAGAAGCCTTTCATCCATTAATCCATATGGAAATACTTCCTTGATTTCCATCTCTGTAATGGGATCTTTTTAGTAACAAATATGATTGCATAAGGGATGTGGTGGTGCTGCGGGCTAAACCGCAGAAGCCTGTGCTGCAGGGTCAGAAGACCAGCCCGTCGCTTGTTCCAGCTCCCGCCAACCTAGCGGTTCGAAAGCATGTAAAAATGCAAGTAGATAAAGAGGGACCACCTCGGAGGGAAGGTAACAGCGTTCCGTGTCTAAGTCGCACTGGCCATGTGACCACAGAAGATTGTCTTCGGACAAAACGCTGGCTCTATGGCTTGGAAACGGGGATGAGCACTGCCCCCTAGAGGCGAACACAACTGGATAAAAAAATTGTCAAGGGGAACCTTTGCCTTTGCCTTATGATTGCATAAAACCGGGATCTTCCACATATACAGTATGTACATATGAAAATATTTATAAAAGAAGTGGTTGGGGAAAGGAGAGCCAAGACTTGTAATCTTATTGTGTGTTCTTCCTTTTACAGTGGCAGACTGTCATGGTGATTCAGTTGCAGATGTTGTCTTTGTGGTGGATGAGAGCATTTCCCATGCTGATGTTACACATGTCAGAAAATTCTTAGAAAATACAGTGAACTCTCTTGATGTGAACAAAGACTGCATAAGAATTGGCCTTGTGACGTACAGCACTGAGCCACGAGTTCTGTCTTTTCTGAGCAATGAAACAGAGAAAAGTGACATTTTGCAGCAAATTCAGAGCTTTTCTCCCAGAAAAGGAAAAGCTAACCTGGGTGCTGCCATTAATGCTACCAGGAAACAAGTTTTTGCTAGACATGCTGGAGGCAGGAAGTCTCAAGGAGTAGAACAAATAGCCACCATCATCACTCACAGACCCTCAGACGACTCTATAATAGATGCAGCTAATCTCTTGCTGCGGGCCGATGTGACAGTATTTGCCATTGGTATTGAAGGAGCTAATATCACCCAGTTAGAAAAGGTAGTATCATATCCACCAAATAAGAATGTTATACAACTGCTGAAATTCTTTGACTTGCCAAGTAAGGTTGACATGTGGCAGAAGAAACTCTTCAATCAAATACAGGACACGATCTATGTTCAGTCTGCAAGAAAAATACACCTCAAAGCAGGTAACACCTTTGGGGTAAGCCAGCTAGCAATGCCCCTGCTTACATATTTACTGTTCCTTCCCTTGTACCCTTAGTGGTTGTACAAGGAGAGAGAGCAAGGCAGGGACAAGAAGGATGAACTGGCCACATCTTTATGAGGATCAGCATATAGAATTTGGCACAGCATAGGACATGGATCCAGCTATCATGTGGCATAATGGCCAATGCCCCTCCTTAACCTGCCTGCCAGGAGTGATACATAGGACTATAGAGTTGGCAATAATCATCTTTCAGCCCCTGAACTGGCAGTTGCCTGTAAGTCCACCTCAAGATCTCTTAGGAAGATGGCCTTTGGGGAAACAGGAGGATTATCCTGAATGGTTGACAGAAATGGATCTATTCCATTTATGCCACAAGAGGCTTATCCCCCATCTCACTGCCAAATTACTGCAGCTGCAACCAATTCAGTACCCCATTACATAATTTGTGAAACCACAGGCCTTCTTCCAAGTCTGAGAGATAAATGCCGTTAGGCTTAAGAAATACAAGTTGCCTAAAGGAGATGCCAGGTTTCAATTAAACTTTTCACTTTCTCCATATCAAATATAGTTTCTGCATTGCTATATGTGTACATATATGTGGAGTGTACACAGCATTCCAAGTATGATTGCATTGTACATTTGTGCAAAAGCATTAGGACACTAGCAATTTTATTTTCCCCCTTAGTCCCTAACATGGAATTCACCTTTTTCCCAAGAGGTGAAAAATAGCTCAACATTTTCATCAAGCTAACCACCATGTACTAAAGATTTACTCTTTTGGTCCATCACCGTTAGCTCAGAACCTGAAAAAGTATATGTGAAGTGTATCACTTTATACATATTTGTTTATCCTGAAATCCCATTTGTCATTTTGATATCCATTGCTCCATTTTTGAGATAACCCCTACTCATCAGTCTTTTAAAACTTCTTGTTACATTTGGTCTCTACCTGTATCTCTGCCTACTTCAATGCATCTCCTAATACTTTCAGGTCTGCCTGAGCGTTCAGTAAAAAGGTTAATCATAAATAATGATAGAAAGATCAGGCTAGCCCTGCACCTTTCTTTCCTAAATTTCCTTCATGGAGACCTACATCTGAAGAGAGCTGTGTGCAATTTCTGCTCATGATCTGGTTTTCAGGTTTCGTGATAATATGGAGATCTCTCATGGCCAGAGAGTGTTCTCTTCAGGTTTAGCTCTCCATGTGTAAAAGATAGAACAGAAGTGACAGGACTAGCTTGGTTCCTGTGTTCATAGGTTATGATTAAGCCTTTTACAGAACAGGGCTTATATTTGTTGCCTAATCATGCCTGCTGTTATAAAACATCTCTCTCTTGTTGCAGGATGTGAGGACACAGAAAAGGCTGATATTTATTTTCTCATTGATGGTTCCACAAGCATTCATTCCGATGATTTCAAAAAAGACATGAAAACCTTCCTGAAGGAAGTCATCAGACTGTTTACAGTAGGACCTGATCATGTCCGATTTGGAGTTGTGCAATATTCGAACAATCATAAGGTAGAATTTGAAGCTCATGTGCACACTCAAAGCAAAAGCCTAGAAAAAGCCATTAATAATATCAGACAACTGACAGGAAAAACTTATACTGGAGCAGCTTTAAAGGCCATGCTGCCATTGTTTGAAAAGGCTACAAAGGAGCGTAATAGCAAAGTGCCGTGCTATCTCATTGTGTTGACAGATGGGAAAGCGCACGACAATGTGCTGGTACCTGCCACAATGCTGAGGAACACAAAGATCAACATTTATGCTATTGGTGTGAAAGGTGCTAATGTCACCCAACTGCATGAGATTGCAGGCTCAGAATTAAGGGTATTCAATGTGCAACAGTATGTCTTCTTGAAAAATATAAAAAATGATATTGTTCGAAGCATATGCTCTAAAGAAGGTAAGACAAATACCACCCACCTCCCAGCAATTCTTCATATAAACACAACTGTGGTTGTACAAGTCAAACAAACTCAAGTTTATGCTGCCACAAATATTTCTTGGTTTCAGGTTGCTTCTTGAGGGTGAAACTAGTCATTCTGACAGAAATGGGGGATTTTGAACTCTGTATTTATTTCATTTCATTTCATCTAATTTCATTTATAAACTGCCAAGAATAACGCATTGAAATAAATTTATCCACCAACAGTTTGGGAGAAATCCCTATATGTGTACTACTCATTTATTGAAATCATGAGGACATTAAAATGCTTAATTTTTGCAAGATTGCACCCATGATTAAAACCTACTAGTATTAAACATCCTCAAAATAATAGGCATACCATAGTGTCTCATGTATTTACATACACTTGTTTGTATGTCTATGTGTTCCTTGAAGAATGATGGTTTCGTTGATATGTGTGGACTTCCCATAGATTCTAAGTGCAGCTATTACATGCATGACTGATGTGGGTTGTTCACCTGGGAACTATTGTTCTAATGATGAACCATGACACACATTTTCTCTCTCCTGTAGCTTGTAAGGAAAAGAAAGCTGATGTCATGTTCCTAGTGGACAGCTCCAGTAGCATAGGTGCTGAAAACTTCAAGAAAATGCAGAAGTTCATGAAGGAAGTGGTGAACCAGTCTGACATTGGCCTAGATCGAGTACATGTTGGCATTGTCCAGTTCAGTAGCACACAAAAAGAAGAATTTCAGCTCAACAATTACTCAACAAGAAGCGACATCATTGCGGCCATTGGAAGAATGTCTGCCTTGAATCAGAGCATACTCACGGGAGAAGCATTGCAGTTTGTGGCAAATTATTTCACACCCGCTAAAGGAGCCCGGCCTTCTGTCAACAAAATTCTGATCCTAATCACTGACGGGAAAGCACAGGACGAAGTAAAAACTCCAGCCAAAGCCCTCAGGGAGAAAGGCATCATAATCTATTCTGTTGGAGTATTTAATGCCAATAAAACTCAGCTAGAAGAGATAAGTGAGAAACCTGAAAATGTGTTTTATGTAGAAAACTTTGATATTCTAAACCAGATAGAAGACAAAATCATTTTTGGCATATGCACCCCTTATAAACCTGACGGTTAGTATTTCTCTTGATCTTGGCCATTTATGCTTCATGAAAAGCTTGCTCATTTCAGGAAAAAACTTTAAATATGCATACAGTTAACATGCAGTGACGCATTATTAATACTTTAATATGGACAAGGTGCTGCAAGCAGGTATTATGAAACAGCTACAAAATGTGATGTAGTCATTGGTAGCTACAAAATGGAGAATTTCACAAATCACTGCTCAGAGCACCAGGGTAAAAATTCTAAGATTCCTTCAGTGCTTTCTTCTGAAAAAGAGATCCAGTATACTTGAAAAATAATTCCAATTTTACAGCATGAAAATCTAATTATGTCTCCCTCTATCAATGTTATTGTATTTCTACAAGTGAAGGCTAGTATTTCACTACCCCAATTGTTCTTTCTTTTGTGAGCTGGTTTATTTAAAACATGATCGGGTATGTGAGATATTTAAGGAGTGGTTTTGCCAGTTCCACACACACCAGTGAGCTTCCATGGCTGAGCAAGGATTCAAACCCAGGCCTCCTGAATCCTAGTCACTACGTCATATTGGGCAACCTTAAGAACTGAGTGATCAGTTAGAAAACAGATAAATCCATTTCTAGAAGTTGGACAGAAAAAATCTATTACATCTAGCAAACATATTTTAATGTTATGAGGTTGGTAGACTTCAAAGATCTATGAAGCCATGACAGGGACATGGAAAACTACCCTTTTGGACCACTAGTCCCAGAATCCCCAGCCAGTATGGCCAAAGGAAGTCATGCCTTTTCACTTCAACTCTTCCCATTGGATTGGAGAGAAAATAAACTAAACCCAATTTTTAAAGAAGAGAAAATTAGGAGGATTTCTCTTGGGTGAAGTTCAGGAGAATTGTTTTACCTTACTGATGAGATGGCTGAGGAGTTTGTATGCATAACTTTAATTGTACAGTCATTTCTGTAGCAGGTACCAGCTAGCAGCCTCCTAACTTCCTTCTTTTCAGTTAAAGCTTAGGGTAAGATGTTGTAAGGCAACTCTCCCCACTGGGCTTTTTCACATAAAGAAATGTGGGTTGCCAGAGAAGCTGCAAAGTGATGGAGATGTATGTAACAGAAGAAAAAACAGATGCACCACCTTCTGCTCTCTTGCTGTTTTACAATTCTTGTTTTTTTAAAAAAACATAACAAGGTGGCTGGATAGCTCAGTGGTTTAAGTATCTGACTGCAGAGCCAGAGGTTAGGAATGCACCTCCAGAAGAATGGAATGGGAAACCATAGAAGAGCCACACTGTGTGGCCTTGGGCAAGCTGCACCTCCAGAAGAATAGAATGGGAAACCATATCTGAGTATTCTCCACCTAGAAAATCCTGGAAATAGTCACTATAAATCAGAATTGACTTGACATCATGCTCTTGGTGGTGGTTGTTAAAAATGTAACATAAAAAGGCCTGATAATGAACATAGGTGGAAGTCTTTTTAATTAGGTGACAAAACTTCGGGGAACTTGATGAACAAATGATGTCCCAGCACTAGCTCCTCCCTTTTCCTGGAATTGGAGAGAACATGTCATTCCCTCACACGTGCTACAGGGAAACAGTTGCAATATACAAATCTACACAATAGCTCCTCACAAATTTTATACAGTATTTGGATGGCCCTGCAGAAAGTGCTTTGCCCTAAAAATTGCAACAAGTGCTAAACTAATATTTTTCTAAAGACTTTTTTTTTTGAGAAACATTCTGAAGATTTTTTTTCCTCTTAAAATAATTAGTGTGTGCTATCAATTTGAATCTGACTTATGGTGGCCCTTTTCAGGATTTTCAAGGCAGAGAAGTGGTTCCCCATTCCCTTCTTCTGGGGGCATCCTGAGACTGTGCAGCTTGCCCAAGGCCACACAGGCTGGCTCTACTCACAGGAGGGACAGTGGGGAAGCGAAAGTCAGAACTGATTTAATAGCACATTATTTTTGTTATTCTCATTATTCTTTCTCTTCCTGCTCCAAGAAATTGGGGAACACTTTGTAGAATTATTTCCAAAAAGTCTCCCTCGTGTCTTCATTTTTAATTTTATTTCTTTGCTGGCATCTCCACCCTGCTACCACCAACACAAAGCCCTAGAGTCTAAAATGAAACCAGGAAGAAGCCTTTGTGGAGAAAGTAAAGTGAGCCAGGATAAGTACATGGCTGCTGTTGCCATTTGGTGTAAATGCCAGAAATCCGGGGGGCAGGGGGAGAGAAAAGCTGTGCTACAACCACTGCTGGTGGTGAGCCCCATCTCTTGGGAGCTGAAAGATTTCTCCTTCCCTTGAATAAATTTAGAGAAATTAGGCCATTTCCTGACTGCCCCATCTGCTCCATAAGTGGAATAGATAATTTCAAAGGGCCACTTGTGAATATTTGTATACTAAATTGGTGTGTTAAGCTGTAAGTCAATGGGCTCTTGCTCAACGTTTTACATGAAACGCAAAGAATGATAGGCTGGAGAAAGCTGGAAAATGATTTTTAGAGTGGTACTTTTGTGTGAGTACATAAAGGAGGGCCTAACCCCCTTCACCTGTATACCCCCATCTAATACCTGTTCCAGAGAGTTGTGACATTCGAGTGAGGGGAGGTTGGCTCTTCTGGGGGGGGGGCAAGGGGAAAAAATAAATCCAGTGCTAACAGTAATGTAGGGTTGAATTTACGGTTAGAATATGAAGAATTGCGTTAACGATGTATATACTGTATCTTTTCTTATTCTTTTCAGATTGCAAAAGGACTGGAGCTTTAGATATTGTTTTTGTACTAGACAGTTCTCACAGTATAGGTAAGCACAATTATGGTCTCATGAAGGACTTCCTAATCAATATCGTGAATAAATCTGATGTTGGCCAGGACAGAGTTCAGTTTGGGGCTGTGAAGTATTCTACTTCTCCACAAACTCTGTTCTACCTTAACACGTATAGTGACAAATCAGCCATCATTGCACACATCCAGAATGACGTCCTTTTAGACGACACAACATATACAGCAGCAGCTCTTCGACACACTGAAGCTTTGTTCACTGAGAAGCATGGCAGCCGCAAACGCAGGGGGGTCCCTCAGGTTCTTATCGTCATAACAGATGGTGATTCTCATGATAAGGAGAAACTTGATGAAGTCTCAACTAGATTGAGAAACAGCGGAATTACTATCTTTGCCATTGGGATAAAAGATGCAAAGCGTGGGGAACTTATGATCATGGCTGGAAAGGAAGATAAATGTTTTTATGTGGATGAATTTGATGGCCTAAAAAATCTGACTGTAATAGATGACTACTGCCCACCACGAGGTAAAGTATTGACTGTGTTAATTTTTTTTTCTGAAGAAGCAATCTAATCACTCTTTTATGTACTGTAGATGAATGTTGTCAGCCCAGAAATGCTATGGAAAGGAGGGGAGCATTCTCCAGGACTGGGAGGCGGCTCTTTCAGCATCAAATCATGAGATGCAATTTAATGTTGACATTATGTCACTTCACCTGTTTCTAATTGTATTGTTCAATGTGTCTACAGGAAGTCTGACTGGACACTCCATGGGAAGTGGAGCTCTTATAAAGAAACAGAAATGCCCATTTATCTTAACTCTTTATTCAACTCCATGTATTCTGAAATAGCTTGCTTTTCTTTTGTCCTGGATCACTGCAATGGAAACATGGGCTTCATTTGTATGTCTGTTTGCTGAGGCATGGAGCTTTAATGGAATTACATAGTTTTGATGGGATTAGGAAGGGCTTGTGAGGTTAAGTCCCTGTGGTGTAATCACTCCTGTATGATTGTTATTTACCCTTTGGCACAATATGCCGGAAATGTTGTTTTACGTTTTGCTTTCTCTTGCAGCATGTGATATCTACGCAGACATTGTTTTCCTGATCGATGGTTCCGAAAGTGTATCTGGAGTCTTTGAGAAAGTGAAGGACCTCTTGATAGAGCTGGTTGATTTGGTTGGTTATAATGGAAATGTTGTTTTTGGCATGGCCCAATTTAGTGACAAATATCATGAGGAATTCTCTCTGGGTCATTATCAAAACAAATCCGAGTTGAAGGATAAAATTGCTAAGGTTACAATGCAGAAAGGAAATAAAACATACATTGGTAAAGCACTCACTGAAGTGAAAGCCTTCTTCAAATCACCAAAACGCAGAGTAGCTCGGAGTGCCCACCAAATGTTAGTAGTAATCACAGATGGAAGATCACATGACAGCTTTGCTAAACCAGCAGAGGACCTGAGAAATGAAGGCATAGAGATACATGCAATTGGAGTGGGAAATGTCAGTCACATCAGACTTCAACAGGTGACAGACTCCCCAGACAGGAAATATACAGCTGCTAATTACAGTGAACGGACTGGTATTACAAAACGCATAACGAATGAAATGTGTAAAGATGATGACAAATCAAGTAAGTTCCCTTCCATAAACTTCTATTAAATTTCTTTTGTTCATGTCCAAGAAAAGGAAATCCTGTTTTTCATAGTTTAAAATCAAACCAGTTTAATTTAATTTTCTGAATGTTTTATGGCTTTCTCTTCCTATGTCCATCCTACTTTGTTTTTCTTTATTCACTGTTGCACTTGAGATTTTCTCCTATTTCAGTTTTCTGAGAAAGCAAAAATGTCTTATTCTATCGTTTATTGTAATGAGCATTGTCCAGATCAAAATCAAAGCAAAGCACGCTGCTTATATACTGTGCTTAAAACACTCTCTGGGCAGTTTACAAGTTAATTATACAGGCTACACATCCCCTCCCCCCAGCAAGCTGGGTACTAATTTTACCATCCTCAGGTGGATAGAAGGCTGTGTCAACCCTGATCCACCAAATATAAGACAAAAGAAAGTTAATTCATCAAATGAAGTAATTTACTATTCCCATCTTCTGGGACTACTTGGGGACGAGGTAACTAGGCCAAGACCACACAAGCTGGCTCTTCTCCTATAGTGTGTACTGGGGAGTTAAATGCGCAATGTCTGGCTCTGCGGTTAATTAGACCAGCTCACTGCGCTATCTAGCCAGCTGTGTTAGAATAAAAAGACAGTATTTTCCTCAAGAACTCTCTACTTCTAATGACATGCTAACTGTAACATACAGTTGCTGTGAGCATGTACAAAGGCTAATTGGCATTGATATTAATTCCTAATTTCTTCATATTGTATGCACTCTAGTAACATTCTCTACATTTTCCCTCTTTTGGTTCATTTCTCTGATCACAGTCATTAGGTCTGTAGAAAGATTCCCTCCTGGACAGGAAAGAAAAAAAATAATGCAAAGATTATTTGAGTTTCCATTAGGAAAAACTTTCTGTTTGTAAAAGTAGTGCAGTAACCGGCCATGATGCCACAGGTTGATGTCAAGCCTTTCTCAAAGGGAAGTTTGGATAAGGAGGAGTTAGATAAAGATGATTAACTAGATTCACTAAATTTGCTATGAATTCTGAGAGGGCCCAATTAGTAGCTTTTAGGAAAAATAAGTTATTTATTATGCTTCATGCATAACATTATTCAGAGAAGAACAAAGCTGTTAGCACTTAATAGTCTTAACATTCTAATAGTATTTGCATGTCAGAGTTTCCCTCAAAGCATCAGAATGATGTGCATTTCTATAATGGCTAAGTGTCTCTGATCCATCTCTCAAAACAATACCTTGCTTCACATTTACAAACGCAGAAATATCAACACATGTATAATGCAGATTATAGCCCAGACCACAGGCCACGTAAAACCCAATATTTGATATTCAGTAACAGTTACAATAAGGGGACATAATGTCACTGTGGGTTAAACCGCAGAAGCCTCTGTCCTGCAAGGTCAGAAGACTAGCCGTCGTAAGATCAAATCCACGTGACGGAGTAAGCTCCCATTGCTTGTCCCAGCTCCTGCCAACCTAGCAGTTCCAAAGCATGTAAATGCAAGTAGTTAAATAGGTACCACTACAATGGGAAGGGAGCAGCATTCCATGTCTAGTTGTGTTGGCCACATGACCATGGAAACTGTCTACGGACAAACACTGGCTCTATGGCTTGGAAATGGGGGATGAGCACCATGCCCTAAAGTCGGACATGACTGGACTAAATGTCAAGAGAAAACCTTTACCTTTACCTTACCAGTTACACGTGAAATTTTCTTGTTCCTGAATCAAATTATGAGGTTTACGTTGAAATTAATACCATAGTACACCCAATCATGGTTCCATTTACACTTGTAACTGAAGACTCTGAAGCTATGATTCCTTAAATAATTCCTAAATAACAGTGGAGACTATTGACTTGGATGCTGGAGGGGCAATGAATATGATCCTCCAGGGTTCAGGGTTCAGCATTTTGGATAGCTCCTATTGGAGTCATCACCTTCCACTGCCAAATAATATATTCAATTGTAGTCTAATTAACAGGTTAATATTCTGAATGTTATGTTCTGATAATAACTTTCCATGTACTGGGAGTTTTTTGGTTCCAGGCAGTACCAGCATTCTGAATATTCTAATGAGACTTCTTTGAATTGTTCCAAGCCAACAGAAGGTTTTTCATATCTGAAAGCTCCACAGGTGGAAAAACAAAACCCTGCATGTGGACAAGTTGCATGCCAGAGTTTTATGCTCATTGTGTCCATTATACCATCATCTAGTACATGAAAGGAAGCCACTAATATAATCTAAGATAAATCCCTTGCCTGCATTCTGCAGAAAAAGGTGCAACACATGATTCAGCAGAATGTGCATGCCACAGGTAGAATTGTTGTCTCACTTGCTTTGTGTTTCTCTTCTGTGCTGCCATCATGACTGGCAAAATCAGCTGTCATTTTGTAATATAAATCCCAATTTATGTATTATTGGCCAGGACAATACTTGTGCAGTTGAGTCTACCTGGATGTTCATCCAGCCACCACCGAGAAAACGTCTTGAGAGATGAAAAGGCTAGCATTGTGTTTGATTTTGTTCTCCCAATGTTGTGCTGTTGTTTTTAGTGGTCTCTCTGTTTCTGCCATTCTTCAACACGAAATTGTCCAAATAATTTCTAATACTTCCCCCTGCATTTCTGTAAAACAGAATGTTTCGTAGATGTTCTTCTGGGATTTGACATCTCCTCTCAGAAGTCAGGGGACCACTTATTCAAAAACCAACAACTTTTGGAGACCTACCTTCCTGGTATTATAAAAGACTTCACCTCTACAAGTACTGTGAGTTGCAACAAAGGAACAACCACACAGTACAGTGTGGCAATTCCAATAGAGAATTCCAACCCTCCTATTTTGGCCGCTCTCCATGTTGATGAAAGGCAAATCCTGGAGAAACTCAAAAATGTTGTGATCAACAGTCCATCATATCTCAATGTCAATTTTTTGGACACTCTTTGGAATTCATTTCAAAACCTATCTGATAATGAAAGCCGAAGCAAGGTAATTTATTCTCATACCCAGTAGGCTGTATATTATTGCATAATACTGTACAATACATCTATCAGCTCAGCTGGAATTATCTGAAAGTTACACATCTCTTTTACAGTCTATGTCACTCATTCCTTATCTAAAGGAATTTCCATTTCTCTGAAAATACAGTTAATCTGGAGAGATTGGCTGGAGTTCCACCAAAGTATTTCATCAAATAAGTTGTACCAATGATACTACATACTGTGTATCCTGCTGCTCTCTTCATCATATGATATGGATGTTTTAATCTTACTTTCTTAACCTTTTTTTAAGGTACTAATTCTTTTCTCTGATGGCTTGGATGATGATATAGAAGCACTTGAAAAAAAATCAGAAGAACTCAGAAAACAAGGTATATCGTAACAGACCAAACACTAATCATTTAATTCAAACGTATTCTTGCTATAATTATTACTACTACCAGTACTGCTACTGTAATTGTTGCTTAAATCAGATTCTTAACATTCTCTTCCAGGGAAACACTAACGCTCAATTCAGATGTTCACTTGAATGTATAGAAGGCTAAAGGGCATAAAGGGTGGGATAGAGATGTGGATAGGCATCTTCTCTCCATGCCCCCCCCCCACTTTACAGTGTCACAGACCTTTGTTTGTTGAGCACAGAAGTCTGAGATCTGAAGAGGGCTTTGTGATCACATGCAGATGTACACAGTTAGAAAGATCTCTTCAGACCTTCATGTTCAACATATGAAGATCTATGATCCTCCGAGGTGTATGGGCAACTGTGCAGTGCCTAATATTGGAAGTAGAGGGGCTCTTCATGGCAATGTCCACAGTCAACAAGGAGAATCCAAAAACTGCAGGCAACAGGATCAAGGTATATGAACAAATAAGGAGAATGTTTTTATAAAGCCAAAGGCTCAACCGGCCATTCAAGACCAAACCACCATCAGATATTTTGGATTACAACAAGGGGATCTCACAACAATATCCTGTTTGTAGAAGAATTATTGTCTATCTCAGCTGCTAAGCTCAAAGGGAAGCCACAAGAGATGGCCTATGGATGATGTCATAATCTCCACTTATCAGAAAATTGCAGGACTTCAGCCCTATGGGTTCAAACTCCACTATATCATTGTGGGAAAAGAAATTGAGGAGTGTGGGGAGCTTATATGATTGCTCCTGTCCACACCATCCATTGATCCCTCTGTGTATTCATGCAAATTCAAATGCTCGAACAGGGCTAAATGGGTTCCCAGGAAATCGACAGACTGAAAATCATATAGCTTCAGCAGAGTTTCTGTGTCATACACTTTCAGACCAATGTCCAGGGCCTAGAACTATTCAGGGCTAATAAAATGCCAGTTTAAAAGTATAATGTGTAGCTTAAGATCCTTTTTTTTCTTTTGTTCACTAAAAGAATTATATGTGGCTCTAATACAGACTAGGAGGATTATCTATGGGTGAGGGAGACTAAACATCCCCACACAATTGATTTGTATTTCAATTCCCACTTCATTTTAAAAAAGACAAAAAAGAGAAAACCTCTGTTGCTTTCTTCCACCGAATTGGATGGAATTTTAATCATCCTCTATACATATGTTATGGCCCAGGTCTGCATTGAGGCTGCATATGATTATTTCCTTGTGGAAAAAAAAAGAAAAGATTTTAACTGCATTCAACATGTTCAACACAGAATGTAATTTAGCTCCTAATTTAAAAGACTGCAGGGAGAAATCCATCAGCAGTCAAAGGACACAAAATGAATAGTCAACCCTTCAGGTAATGAGAAGTTCTTATAATGGCAATGTACCTGGTGGGGCAGCACAACAAGATAAACCTACCTTACAGGACAACCAAGAGTGCTGATTTAGTTAGGTCAGCATAAACTTTCTCAAGTTAATCACTATCATAGTTATGTTTATCTGTAACCAAAGCTATTCCATCATTGCATGGGGGTGTTTGATCCACATGTCAGAAATTTGAGTATTTCAGAAATTTGACTATTCAGAAATTTGAGTATTCAGAAATTTGGACACTGTTCCTAACCGGTGTCCAGCCATTACAAACTGTAGCAATGAGATGTCAAAAGTGAGATTCCATCCCTGTCTATATTTAATGTGTTCTATTTAACACTGGGCTTCATCTTTTAATGGAAGAGAGAGAAAAAATAATGGGGGTAGGGAAAGGGAGAGAAGTTAAGAAATAACGATTCCAAGGGTATTTCTAATGATCAATGTCTTAAACAGGACTGGATGGAATAATAACAGTTGTCTTGGAAGGAGCCACTGATTTCCATGATCTTCTGTATATGGAATTTGGAAAGGGATTTGGATATAATGATCAATTAACTACTGGCACACATAATATTGCCACCAGGCTCTTTGAGTATGTGGTAAGTTCATAAGAGAAGGTTCAGTGGATTCCATTTCAAAACTTGGAGGTCTGTCTCTTTGTTCACCACAACACGTGATTTGGCATAAGCTAATAAGTACTCATTTCACTGCAGCAGATTTTTTGCATCAGTAGGGGTTGCCATGTTTAAAGAACAAATGTGTTATCTATAGTAATTTTCTGTTTTTAAGGACAAAATTGCTGAGAGAACATGCTGCTGTGTGCATTGCAAGTGTGTTGGAGAGGATGGCCTTCCTGGAGAAATAGGGGAAATGGGATCTAAGGTAAGACTGTCAGTCCCCCATTTAATTCAGATTGCAGTAGGTTGCCTAGGACAAGGTGGAACGTCTTGTAGTACTTTGCCTGATGAAGAGTTCTGGAGATCTTGAAAGCTTGCATATTTTGGAGAGCTTTAATATATATTACTATATATTTTTATATGAATTTTGCATCTTTTTTCCCCATGCTACTTTGTGCCGCTGTCAACTGACTTAATTCACACTTCATAATGAATAGTGCCATCCTAACTGGTCAAAGTGGCTACAGGCCAAATTAGTTGACATTAGACCATCTGAAGCTGTGTTGAATCCAAGCCCCTGCCAGTTTAGGAATGCTGAAAATAATTTAAGACCAGCCTTACCCTGTCCTAATCTTTCACCAGCATTGTGGCTGTGCCCCTGATGTAAGTCAGCTCCTTTCTCCCCCTGATCCTCCTTCACCTTCTCTTTGCATCTTCTCCCAGCACATTAGCCAGTCAAGCACTTCAGCAGAACGTTCCGCTTCAATGTTTCCGTAATTTAATATTTGCCTTTTCATTTATAATTTCATCTCTAGGGATCTGTTGGTCCAGAGGGCAATCGAGGACATTTAGGAGAAGATGGAGAACCTGTAAGTTACAAGCTATGAAAATAATGTTTCCATTTTTTTGAGGACTTTTGTTTCCATTGACTTCCGGGATGTTCATTTTAGGGTTCCAGAGGTTTTCCTGGACCAGATGGAGACAAAGGATGTAGGGGAGATCAAGGGAATAAAGGTCAGAAGGCAAGTATATACTTGAAGAATCATTTTAAACAAATGCTTCAAACAAACAAAAATCTGTCTATTATTAAATAAATATTTGCTTCAACTATTTCAGGGGCTGCGAGGACACAGGGGAGAAAAGGTACAGTAAGAACACTATACCCTGTTAAATGTTAATAATCCCTGTTGTGTTAAAGATTTATACAGTAAACCTCTTCCTAGAATAATCAAAATTGTCAGCATGAAATACTACATACACAAGGTAGTGTGACAATGTTCCAGCAGTGATTTAAAAAGAAGAAGGAGAAGAACTTTCTTAGGAATCAGAGATAGAAGAGGCCACACTTAACCTCACCAACTATTTCTTCACTCAGAACCTTACAGGTGGTTTATACCACACAATGGATTCAATGAGCATTTACAGTCATAAACATACATCTAAAAATTCATGGGCAGAAGGCCATTGGGTGGGAGATTAAAACTCTCTCCCCCTGCTTCTGTTGTTGCTATTTTCAGGAGTGTAGATTTGGCACACTTATGTCAGTGATTTGTAGTTTTGACCTCAGCTATCAGTGCGATCTGTTCCTGAATGTGCTGAGGAGACATGGAATATATGCTAAAATATCAGAGAGAATGGAGGAGGCATCTTGCCATTTATCTCAGGAGATGAGAGAGCAACCCCTCCACCTCAATTAGCTAGAATTAAGATTCCTATTATCTTTCCTATCTTATATGTTCCTAATAAATACTAGCTTTCTTACTTTTCCTAGAATAAGAGGTGTGGATGTGGTTCTTTTCCAAAAGGGCAAGGGTGCTGTGCCAATCTTTCCAATTTTCAAGGGTTGACTCCAAACGTTAACTCATTAGTTGCTGCTTATTTTGCTAACATTTTCTGCACGGTGACTATATTGGATAGCCGTGTAAATCACATTTCCTGATTTTGTTTTCTCAGGGAAAGAATGGGATTGATGGACTTAGTGGAATTGATGGTGAAGAGGTATGTTATTTTGCATTTTTCTGTGTCCAAGTACTATCTTTTAACGTGCCAAAAATAACACTTCTCTCTTTTTAATCCTTTTTAAGGGATCAGAGGGACCTCCGGGACTCAGAGGAGAAAAAGGGGACCCAGGCCAGGCGGTATCATTTTAAAATCTATTGTTGTTTCGGGTTTAATTTTGTAAAAAGTTAGAAGGTCAATGCCTATGAGAAAAAAATTATCTACGTACTCAACAGAGAGGAATGCTTTAGCAAGCATTTTCTACTAGAATGTTTGGAATAAGTAAAACACAAAACGGGTACATATCCCAGTGAAATATATTTGTTTTTTGTTCAGATATGTGGGGCTAAATGTCCATAATTTACAATCCTAATTCAGTTGGGTAATTGACCGCTAAGATACTGTTAGCACATTAATTTTATCTGATTTTGGAAAAATGGTAATCTTAGCTCCTGCCCCAGTTTTCAGATACAGTAATGCTCTGCCATTTATGTCATAGCCTGAGTTAAGGGTTCGAGCAAGGAAAAACAAAATCCAGTCGCTAGTCCTACTAGAGTATGGGATTTACATCAGCATTGACTTGCTATCCAGTAATCCACACTTCTTTAATTTCCAGGTGTTGGCAAAATATTGCTCCCTGGGAGTTTAAGTTCCCTTCCAAGTCTTTCCTTGCCCCCCCCAAAAAATATTTTGTAGTATGTATTTTAAATGCCATTTTATGCTCCCTGAAGTCTTCAGGAACTACAGATCTGGGCAAAATTCTCAGGAGCAAGGATTTAGCCCAAAACATGTTGGGCTTTCACTCCATGTTCATCAGGAGGTGCACACTAGGCTGCATGGGCTGCTGCTCCTCTCTTGTAAGATCCTCTTACAACTGTTCAACCTGAATGCAAGGACACAAATTTCCATTTTCTTAATTTAAAAATAACCACCAATTCAAACATCCATTCATTTTGAGAACTTGAGGACCGAAATGCATCCATTTGGGAGAAGAGAGTAACACAAATACCGTACATTTCCAGGGCAGCCCGGGACCAAGAGGACATCCTGGTGATTATGGTCAGAAAGGCTTCCAAGGAGATCCTGTAAGTCCACCCTTTACCCTCTGGGGACCATATGGCACTTCATAGATTGTAGCTGCAGTTTCTAATCTCATTAGAAATTTCAGAGACATAAGTCTCAGCAGCAGCCGTTCTCTGTTGAGCTTTTAAAGTTTTTCAGTGACCCAGGAACACAGAAACTTGACAGACTCTTTCTTCAACTAGGATTTGTTAAGTGCCTTCAAACTACCAGCCATGCAGAAGACTCAGTGTCTCTCACCTGCTTTATTTTCCCACTGCTTTGCTGTTACCCTGATTTCATTTTTGTTCCCTCCCTTCTCCCTCATGGAGGAGATATGGAAATTGAAACATGTCATTGTTATGTGCCATCATGTCACCCCTGATTTATAGTGAGTGACCTTATGAATGAGTCTGTCCACATTGACATATAGTTGTGGTATAAGGCTCCCTGATAGCACGGTTTGGCATGGGGGAAAAATACCTTGTCTGCTTGTATTTCTACTTAAAACAACCCATCCTTCTTCCTTAAGAGCTGGCCCATATCATTCTGATACCGAGCTAGGACATGCAGTCTTTTTGAGATGATTCACTGAGAGGCAACATAGCTCTTTGTTCTGCTTTCACGGGCAGATATAGTACTGAGAGTTAAAACAGATTGCACTGCAGATAAGGACCTTTTAAACACTGGCCAGATTGCACCAAATTTCTTAGTCTGGACAGGATCAATGAACAATCTCCAAAATATCCTGTCCAAGACTGCCCTGCTCAGCTCTTCTAAACTCAAGCCTGTGGTTTCCTTTGGGAAGTCGGTCCATCTCGTATTTGGACTGATTGCAAAGCTCTCCTCCAGCACAAACGAATCAGTTTTTCCCTCCATTAGCTTTCTTTACTGCCCAGCTTTCACATCCGTTCATGTCATGGGCATATAATGGATCTGTAATGTTTATATTTTAAGATGGAAAACGTGGTAGAGACATAGGCCAGTGACCCCAGCAGTGCTTTCTGCAAATAGTTTTGCTTACTGTAGCTGCTATATCAGCGAGAATATTCTTTCTTCTAGGGGAAAAAAACGATCTTACCTGGAGAAAAACTTCAGTTTCAGACAGTTTCAGTTGTTTTCATGAAAACAATGTAACTTTTCAAAAAACTTTTGTAGGGTAATCCTGGAATGATCAGTTACATACGAGGAGAGACTGGCTTCACAGGGCTGCCGGGAAGCCAGGTAACTGTTGCTAGTTATGAATTTTCTTGTGCCATATTTGTATTCAGATATTAAGAGTGAAACGCTTGGCTTTGGAAGAAAATGCGCTTTGGCACCCATCGCAGTTTTGTTCTAAGAATAATTCCAGCATGGTGGGAGGGAGAATTTGTCAAAATTGTGGATGGGGAGGGAAGAATGAGCATCCACTCCCTGAATTAAAACTGAGAGCCCTGTCAAAGCTAGGATTAAACACAAAAGTTAAAATGAAAGAAAGACACATGGATATGATATATATGTGACTAAATGTATCTTTTGAATGGAAGACTAACATTTGATAACAATGGCTGTCATATGCCTAACACAGCAACTATGATTAGGCTATTAAAGAGTATGAATCTCACAGTCTCTTGCTGTCAGAAAGCCACCGGAGGGGTATTAATTTCTCCTTACTGTGAGACTTCTTGACATTTTTTGCCATCAACAAATCTTGTAGAAATGTTGCAGGATTTCTCAGAAGTGTTGTCATCATTTTTTTAGGAGGAAAATACCAAATGTGCAAAAGTATTATAATTCTTCATAATTCCTGTGCAAAGTGCGCATTGAGTAGTGCAGAATTTTAATGGTTTCCAAATGCAGAACAAGGGGGGGGAGGGCTGAGATCAACCGACCCCCCCCCCAAAAGGACTGCATCTCATTTTTGTGGGGACCCAGGAAATCTGTCTGATGCAGGGAAGAGTATTTGTGGATAATCTCAACATGCTGAGATTCAAAAAGTTGCAGAGAATGATTTTTTTAGAGTATTTATCACACCTGTAGATAATTTTCTTTGGTTCTAGTTTTTATTCATGTTATTTCTTACTTACATGCATGCACACAATGTATTTCCTTCCAAAATGGCCTGCATGACTATTCTTTCTATATCAAGCCTGATACAAGTGAGAAGTGTATGAAGCTGAAGGAGTAAGAATCCTAACGATTGCTATTGAGTCATACTTTAAAATTACATTCTCTGTCCACAGGGAGAAAGAGGACCAAGGGGTCCAGCAGGTATGAGGGGATCCAGAGGAAACAAAGTAAGAACACTAAAGCAAATAAACTGGCTTTTTTGTAGTGGGGAAAAAAGAATCATTAAACCAGTATTTGAGAATCAGCCTTCAGTTTACATATGGTGAAAACTTATTTGTCCTGTATGTTGTTTACAGTCCATTGTCATCTATACAGACAGCTGAATGAAAGCAAAATTTATTTTAGTTCATTGGTGGTCTATCATCTGTTTCCCATAGCAAGGGAAACCATTAGAAATAAGAAATTAAAAAATAACACATTTAAGCATTTTGTGATGTTCACGTTTATTAGTAAGTATGTTTTCAACAGTTCCTTTTTCATTTCCTTGTATTTCTGGACCTTAGAGGAAAACGCCTTGGAGGTCAGGACTAAGCTAGCATTGATTCATCAACAAACATTTTTGGGGAACAGCTGTCATTAAAGAAGGCAAATTAAAGAGGATGGAATCTTATTCAGTACATTTTTTCTGTTTTTAATGTAATGTGGACAGAATAGTTTCTCAGATAATGTTGGTTGTAGTGCTGTAGATTGTCATTAACAGAAGGGGAAGATTTTTGGTAATTAAAGCATTCCTCCTTCCATCCTGGGACTTCCACAGATTGCATGTAGTGAGACTGATTACATGTGAGTCATATGAGCCACAGAGGAGTAGGACTCTTTAATTACTGAACATTTCCCACTGCCCTTGAGATCATCACTGTTATGCAGGTGTAATTTATGGAACAGATTATAGCCATGCCTTTCTCTGTATTTTAAAACTTGTATTGCACAACCAGACTCCTTCAAATTAGAGGAGAAAACAAAAATTATTAGTATAGATCATACTTTTTTGTAATATATGATTTATTTTTTGTGAGACAAAAAATTGCTTAAGTGCAGATATGTCCACCAATGGTTTTATTTACATGAAACACAGCAGTTATAAGTTACCAGTATTCCTTTTGTAATAGGGAGCAGAGGGAAGAAGAGGAATTCCAGGCCCACCGGTATGTTCATGTTAATGTGATATTATTTAAAAAATCTAATATGGAGCACTCCACAGGGGAACACCTGACTCCCCCTCTTCATCCCCGGCCACTAAGGATTGCCTGGTTGCGAAAGATGGAGAAGCTGACCAATTAGGAATGAAAATGTAAGAAATTTCACACAGGCCTATCTGAGGAGTTGTGGGCAGGCAATGAAATGTATGGGGCAGGCAACGAATCTATCCTTGCGATGACTGCCCTGCTCAGCTGTATGTACAGTGTTTACTGGGCTGGATATAAGTCTTCTGACAAGACGCACAGAGAAAGAAATTCTAGGAGATGGTTGTTGTGGGTTTTTCGGGCTCTTTGGCCGTGTTCTGAAGGTTGTTTCTTCCTAATGTTTTGCCTAAGGCAGATGGGCAGAGACCACTGAAGTATGTACAGTGTTTACTGGGCTGGATATAAGTCTTCTGACAAGACGCACAGAGAAAGAAATTCTAGGAGACTTTGTAGTATCTTCCTTGTGAGTCCAGACCACAAGAGCCCGATAAACCCACAACAACCATTAGATCCCGGCCATGAAAGCCTTTGCGAATAAATTCTAGGAGACTTTGTAGTATCTTCTTTGTGAGTTGGGCCCAGACCACAGTGCATGTAACAGAACCAGCAAAAGCTAACTTTCCTATCTCTCGTCCCTTGGCGATCTCCTTCCACAAGCATTCCTCCTGTACCATGAAAAGGGACCATGCTGAATAGAATGGGCAGTGGTTTGGGTATCTGCCATAATTTCCAAGATATTGTCTTCTCTCTCAGGCTCTGTGCCATAGCCCCTTCTACTTAGTAGGCTCTTCTGATCACTGCAAGGCTGTTGAGGAGAGGAGAGAGTGTGGTGAGCAGGCAAATCGGTTTCTTCATAAGAGTGGCTTGCACTCAATTATGAATGCATCTAAATCACAGTGCTATAAGGAACTGAAAAAAAGTATGCCCTTTTTTCTATGTATAAAAACTATCCCTTTTTCTATTTATAAAAACTAAATGCACTCAATTATGAATGCATCTAAATCACAATGCTATAAGGAACTGAAAAATTGTATGCACTTTTTTCTATTTATAAAAACTAACGAAAAATAACCCTTATAACATTCACTTGAGAACATAATTGCCATCAAGAACTTTGTCTTCATACAGGGACAGGAAGGAACCCGTGGTCCAGATGGTTTGCCAGGAGAACAAGGATTTCAAGGTCCACAGGTAGATGTCAATGTTCTTGCGTGTGTGCAGTGGGTAGATAGTTGCAATCAGTCAGTCTGTCTGTTCGGAGAAGGCACCATAGTTTAGCTGTAGAAGGTATGTTATACTTGAAGAAGATCACATGTTCAGTCCATAGTATTCTATGTAAACAGATCATGAGGCAGATCGTATGAAAGACCTCTATTAGATTTCCAAAGCTGCTACAGGTGACATCAGTGAACCGCAAACCACCACCTCCAGACATTATCCTCTTTCTTATGTTACAGCTATGTCTAGAAAATTGTTCCTGAAACTGGCAGGGACTGTGATTGTCTCATAATTTGTCATTTTGTAGTGTTGTTGTTTTTCTAAGCCAGTGGAGAGTTATAAAAGTCACTGAATATTTTCCCAGAAAAAAGTACATTGTTGTTCAGAACATTAATTAGAAGAAAAATGGCACATATGGATTGGGCGTGAGAGGTTGTGGGTTTTTTAAAAAAGAAAAGGTGCTGCTGCCAGTGGAAGATTTCCAAAGCTGCTACAGGTGACATCAGTAAACTGCAAACCACCACCTCCAGATATTATCTTCTTTCTTATGTTACAGATATGCTGCTGCCAGTGTGCACCATTTCTTGGAAGTTCTTGGAAGTTTTCTCTGCAAAATGCTTGCATGACAATTTACCAAGCTGCATATTTGCTCTTGGGACAATTTAAATGTAAGGTCACGAAATGAGAAGGCTGATAGTTTGTGTGACCACCAGATCATTAGGACAGCAAATAGTCTTAGAGAGAGTAGTTAAAGAAGTCAGCCGCACACGCAGGGATGTCTGCCAGGAAGTCCTCCATACACACCTCTGGATCCAGTTCTGGGGCCACGCTCCCAGGAGGACTCTCTTTTATTAACCTTACAAGCTCACAGATAGTTGACAGTGTATAGATAGTTAGAGTTCAGATAGGACAATGGTTGCATAATGCTAATAGGACTGGCCCAAAAGTAGTTAAAGAAGTCAGCCACACACGCAGGGATGTCTGCCAGCAAGTCCTCCATACACACCTCTGGATCCCACTCTGGATCCAGCTCTGGGGCCACGCTCCCAGAAGGACTCTGTTTTATTAACCTTACAAGCTCACAGATACAGTGGTGCCTCACTTTACGACGAAACCGCATTACGACGAAACCGCATTATGACGATCTTTTTGCGATCGCAATTGTGATCGCAAAACGATGGTCTGAATTGGGTTTTTTCACTTTGCAGTGATCGGTTCCCTGTTTCGGGAACCGATTCTTCGCAAAACAATGTTTTTAGAACAGCTGATCGGCAGTTTCAAAATGGCCACCGGCTAAATAAAATGGCTCCCCGCTGTTTTCTGTGACGGATTCCTCGCAAGACAGCCACAGAAAATGGCCGCCCTATGGAGGATCTTCGCTGGACGGTGAGTTTCCAGCCCATTGGAACGCATTGAAGGGGTTTCAGTGTGTTTCAATGGGCTTTTCATTTTCACATTACGATGTTTTCGTTCTACAGCGATTTCGCTGGAATGAATTAACGTCATAATGTGAGGCACCACTGTAGTTGACAGTATATGGATAGTTAGAGTTCAGATACGACAGTGGTTACATAATGGCAATAGGATTGGCCCAAAGAAGGCTTTGAAGTTAGCTTTCTGTTACTATGAGAAAGATGAAGAATGGGTAGCCACGCCTCTCAGAAGCAGCCGCATCTTGCTCGGAGAGTATGCCTTCACTACAACAACAATGTGGCTTAGCAACCTTGGGGAGAGCACTCCTACATTTAAAGAAGTGTGTGAGAGAGAGGGGGGAGGGGGGAGAGCGAGAGCGAGAAAGATGAAGAATGGGTAGCCACGCCTTTCGGAAGCAGCCGCATCATGCTAGGAGAGTATGCCCTCACTACAATAACAATGTGGCTTAGCAAACTTGGGGAGGGCACTCCTACATTTAAAGAAGTGTATGTAAGAGAGAGGGGGGAGGGAGGGAGAGCGAGAGGGAGGGAGGGAAAGGAGAGAGAGAGAGAGAGAGAGAGAGAGAGAGAGAGCATCTTTTGAAAGACTTAACTTTAAACAGATATGTATATATAAAAATCCGAGAGAGAGAGAGAGAGAGCATCTTTTGAAAGATTTAACTTTAAACAGATATGCATATATATAAATCTCTCTAGATGTGGTGGTTCCCAAGTTTTGGTCCCCAGATGTTCTTGGACTGAAATTCTCAGAAACCTTCATCACTAACAGTGCTGGACAGGATTTCTGGGAGCTGTAGTCCAAGAACATCTGGAAAATATTTGCATCAGGTACACAAATGAGCAAACTGATCTTGTCTTCCTCCAGTTTAAGTTACACTTCTTTGTCTCACTTATTTTCCCAGTGTTTTTCGCTGGAATGAATTAACGTCATAATGTGAGGCACCACTGTAGTTGACAGTATATGGATAGTTAGAGTTCAGATACGACAGTGGTTACATAATGGCAATAGGATTGGCCCAAAGAAGGCTTTGAAGTTAGCTTTCTGTTACTATGAGAAAGATGAAGAATGGGTAGCCACGCCTCTCAGAAGCAGCCGCATCTTGCTCGGAGAGTATGCCTTCACTAAAACAACAATGTGGCTTAGCAACCTTGGGGAGAGCACTCCTACATTTAAAGAAGTGTGTGAGAGAGAGGGGGGAGGGGGGAGAGCGAGAGCGAGAGGGAGGGAGGGAAGGAGAGAGAGAGAGAGAGAAAGAGAGAGAGAGAGCATCTTTTGAAAGACTTAACTTTAAACAGATATGTATATATAAAAATCCCTCTAGATGTGGTGGTTCCCAAGTTTTGGTCCCCAGATGTTCTTGGACTGAAATTCTCAGAAACCTTCATCACTAACAGTGCTGGACAGGATTTCTGGGAGTTGTAGTCCAAGAACATCTGGAAAATATTTGCATCAGGTACACAAATGAGCAAACTGATCTTGTCTTCCTCCAGTTTAAGTTACACTTCTTTGTCTCACTTATTTTCCCAGTGTTGAATTTACATATGTTTCTCTATGATAACAATAAAACGTGTTATGCAACCTGTTTTTCAGGGGCCAATGGGAATTCCTGGCGTAAAAGGAGAAAAGGGATATTCAGGAAATGAAGGCCCTCAGGTAAAATTACTCCAGACTTGCCATTTTTTAGCAGTGAGAAATTTCCAAGGCCCAGGCACTTTCTTCAGAGGATCACTGTGGGTCTTCTGTAATCAAATATTTCTTTAAACAGACATGGAGACTTGAGCTATATATATGAAGGGCCACAATATTTTCCAGAGTTTAAAACTATGGATTCTACACAAATAGTGAAGGCTGTCCTCTTCAGAAAGTGACCTCCCATGTGTAAGTGGTGGTGAAAGTGGTGGTGGTGGTGAAGAAGGGACGTGCACACCTCACACATGCATTGTACCAATTTAAAAGTGGGGAAGAGGGTTGTAGTTGGAAAAGATCTTGAGTCTAGGTAATTGGATGAACTGAGCTGTAATGGATCTCTCACACAACATTTAGTCTGACCCAAAATATGCAACCATATTTTATTTTTCATTTTTAAGCTTAATATGGCAGTACCTGTTTGAACAGAATTTAAGCCTGATATATTACAGAGAAAGGCAGCAAGCATATCTCTTAAAGCAGTGGTCCCCAACCTTGGGCCTCCAGATGTTCTTGGACTACAACTCCCACAGAATTTAAGCCTGATATATTACAGAGGAAGGCAGCAAACATATCTCTTAAAGGAGCTTAACAACAGTAATCGTGTGCTGTTAAGCCGGTGAAAGAGTTTTAAAAGACCCTTAACTGTGAAGCTCATCCCGAAACATCATGCAGCCCCTCTGGAGGCCCATTGTTGGGGACCACTGTCTTAAAGGAGCTGAACAACAGTAATCATGTGCTGTTAAGCTGGTGAAAGAGTTTTAAAAGACCCTTACTGTGCACCATCCAGCTCATTTGTGGGTCACAGTTTCAGAAGCACTATCTTAAAACCAATGGAAAATGAGACTATAGAGACCAAAAAAAGAGTCAAGGATGGATGTGAACACTGCTGAAAACCTCAAATTTATGAAAGAAATGAAAGTGTTTTTTAAAAATTTTTATATTTGCACTAAAATTTTGTTTATAATGCTCTTTTTTTCTAGGGAAGCACTGGAGTGGGAGGCCTTAAAGGCAACCAAGGGAAACCTGGATCCAGAGGAAATAAAGTACATATTCTAATTTTTCATTAGTGATCCCTTCTCTGCATCATGTAAAGTGGACCCAGACCCTGTAAACAGAAAGGTTCTTTATTTGAGTTCTCCAGAAACTCAGAAAAATCTTGATGCACCACTTAGAGTTTTTAATTATTTTTCTTTATTTTCTGTACCCTTTAACTTTATGTATTACTGTGTAACAGGCAGAAATCAACAGCTGCTTTTTCCTCCTCATCAGTAACAGAAAAATGGTATCTCTTCATGCTTTCCTATTGTACAGCTATAGAAAGTCCAGAATTTATGTTCATTTAATGGGAGAACTTCTACAGTGGTGCCCCGCATAACGAGCGATTCGTTTAACAATGAATCCACATAGTGATGAGGTTTTTGCGATCGCAAAAGCAATCACATTGTGATGTTTTAGATGGGAAAACATCACTTTGCGATGATTGGTAAGCGTTTCGCTCACCGATTATCTCATAACGATGTTTTAAAAACAGCTGATTGGCAGTTCCAAAATGGCCACCAGGTAAAGAAAATGGCCGCCCACAGTGTTTTCGTGCTCTTTCCTCGCTTACCAGGCAGCAAAAATGGCGGCCGCATGGAGGATTTCTGCAGAACAGTGAGTTTTTTGTCCATAAGAATGCATTAAACGTGTTTTAATGCGTTCCTATGGGCTTTTTTGCCTCGCATAGTGACGAATCTGTATAGCGACAATTTTTTCTGAATGGATTATCGTCGCTATGCGGAGCACCACTGTATATATACTCATATAAATAAATATCCAAACACAGCTGAAAGGGTATGAACATCATAGCCAAGAAGGGGCTGGATTTCATTTAAAAGAAAATACATTTGGCTCACAAACTCATAACTCATAAGTAACTCATTTCTCATAAGTAAACACAGATTTACTTACAACCAGATTTTCCCCCCACATTTGAAGTACATAATTTAGCTACAGGATATTTGTCAATAGATATTATTTCAGAATTAACAGCCTCTGAAGTCACATATTTTGTTCACCACATATGTCAAACAATTCTGAATCTGATTCAGTTGTTTTCAGTGCTTGTATATTTGTTTCTCACACTCAGTATCATACTAATTTTGATTGACAGGGAGAACCTGGTGATCCTGGAGAAAAAGGAGAAAGAGGCTTCCGTGGTCTGCGAGGAACAAGGGTTTGTCATTTATTCATTTTCATTTTCAGTACTAATACAATACTAATACATTCTCCCAAGAGCAGCTTAAAACCAACACTATTAAGAGCTTCTAACAAAACCCCAGTAAATTATTACAATATACAAAAGCAATTAAATATAGTATAATATTAAAATTACCACATTAAAAAAAGGTTAGAACGATTTTATAAACATGTAAAAATATAAAAATAAAAAGACACAACACCCCATTTAAAAAACCTTCTTCATAGGCAACCATTTACTAAAAGAAAATCTAACTGAAGAGAAAGGCCTCTGGCCAGCCTGCAGAAGTTCAGATGGCCAGGCTGGCCTCGTGTGGGAAGGAGTTCCCCACCTTGAGAGGAGAAACAGAGACGGTTTGGGCTTGTGTCCTCTCCAAACACAGCAATGAGGATGGCAGAACTGAGTTCTTTTCCTGTGGACCAGCATGTAAAAAGCTTTCAGTTGCTCTCCTGGATGATTCTGTGCAGATAAAATAGTGGTAGAGAAGAATTACATCTTTGCTGCTTTCATTGCAATGGAGTCAGCCTTCCAGTGATCTCTTGCCCAAGTTTGGCCATATTCATTCTGAGTTTTCCACCATTGTCCCTCTTGTTTCTATCCCATACTTTTCATCACCACCAGTTCTCTATAAAACAGGGACCAGTTTGGTTCCACTTGTAGGAAGTGATCTTTAGATGCAATTGTGTCTACCTTCCCACCCATCTCCAGAGGTCAATCAGGGCTTCAACAGAACAACCTACTAAAGCAACAAGAAACTCCCCAAGAGTTATCAGGAGTCCATTCAGATCCACTAGCCTTCAAGGACAGGCCACCATTTATATTCTTCTTACTTGGTTTTACAATGGCTTGAATGAAAGCAGAGGCTAACCTGGCCTCAAAGGGCAATGCAAAATCCCCCTATAGACAGGACTTTGTAGATACTGAAACTTTTTTAAAAAAATGAAAATCCTATATCACAAAAAACAGAACATACATCTGTGCAGGCTTTCTGCTGTATATCATCATGAATTAAAATGTGTTGATTATCAATAGTTTCTTTCATCTAAGATGAATTGAAGCACTGCTTCCAGTCTAAAATATTTGACAGCAAAACTAAATAATGCAATATGTTCCATCAAAATTGTCTTCTTGCAGCATCTGGAAATATTCAGCAGGCTGTGTGCTCCAACACTTGATGATGATAAACTGCTCCCATTCCCCATACGAGAGGTCTTATAGACAAAGTTTGGTAGGTCTTCTCCAGAAGTTCCAAGTGAGTTAACAGAGCAGTTTTATTTTTAATCTGGGCCAATATGCACACTCCATTAATCTTCTTATAGTGTGAAAACAGAACAGATATTGTAGATAGCCTATGATTAGAGCTGGCCTCATATTCATGTTGAAGAGGCATGAGTCAGGCAGAAGCTTGTGCTTGAGAAATCAGAATTCACAGGAATCCTATGCTTAAATCTTGAAGACTAATCATAAAACAGAAACATCTTCATTGACAAAAATCACTTGTATACATGCCTGTTGCGTCTCCTTCTCAAATAGCTACAACATATATTTTTGTTCTTCTTCTTCACCTTCCCCAGCTGGTTGTACCCCTCTAAGTACTCCTCTCTGGCATCTTTCCTCTTCAGCACTGGTTCATACAGTAGACTTCCTTATACAGAAGCAACTGTAGTACCACAATTACACCTTGCAGATTGGTGTAAATACTGCACTTCACATATTTGCAGTCACTTTGATCACAATCAGAGCTTCTGCTGAGGTTGTGGAATGAGCCTGAAGGTAGATGAAGTGCTGCAAAGTTTAAACTAAACTATAAACAGTGACAATTAAAATCCAATAAATTCAAAAATAACTAGACTAAAATTTATTGTCTGTTCCAGGGAGAAGATGGAGCTGCTGGGTATGGCAAACCAGGAATAAATGGATCCAAGGTAATGACAACTGAAGTCCAGTAGTAAGTTGAAACTAGTAAACTCATTAAATCAATGCAACTTAAGGAAGCATTATTAATCAAGTCCCCATTGATTCAATAGGCTTACTCTAATTGTGCCCCTTCATAAATTGCTGCCTTGTCGTGGTGAAGGGGCTTGTGTAATTCAGAGAAGCTATGGGCTATGCCGTGCAGGGACA